GAAAGAGATTTTTCATTCTTGAACATTTGAATTAAACTACTGACCATTTCGTTAAGAATCAGTGGGTCAATGTCCCTGAGAGGCCACTGTGTCAAAGCCCTGACCTGAATCTTGTTAAGAATCATGGGAAGACTTAACAGCTGCTCTCTGTAAACACGGTCATACCAACATGGGACACAAACACATCAAAACGATACGGCAAAACGCGCGGCGAGCGTGGCATGCAGCTGCCAGAGGCAGAGAGAGAAAGGCTCACAGCCGTAACTGACATGAAAGGTGCCTCTACTGAATATTTAGTCATATTTTGCCAAAATGATTAAACATCTGTGTACTAACATTCTGCAATCTACATATTAAAGTTTAATTTTTAATACAACGTAAGCATTATATATACAAGCAACATAGCCTTGAAATTGAATGTAATCAAGTAACAAATCTGACTAGATAACAGCCAAATCGAAATGCAAGGAATTATATATCAGTACATTGGATATACAGATAGGATGAGACTATTACAAAAGACTCAAAGACAACAAGGGCAGTAAATACAGACACTGCGGGTTAGAATTAATTTGGGTTAAAGTCGGATCTTGCAGCATGTTTTCATTGGTAACCAGTCATGCTTTCATCTGCTCTGCTAATTCACTGGACAACGGCAGAGCCACTCGACTGAAAACAAAATATTCCTGTTCTACTAAAAGCTGGCCTGATGTTGGACATGCTGTGTGCAATTTTGTAGCAAGACCAGTGGTCACTTTTTCTTTTAGGCCTACTGACAACTGTTTACCTTTTAAATCGGGAGAAAGTAGGTTAAGTGACAATCTGAAATATAATTGTGGAATCCTTAAAAGCACTGGATTCCTAACAATCCACCTCACCAAACATATTCCATTTACTAATATAATTTACCCCAAAAAATATAGAATAGTTGAGCAAAGTCTTTTAAATATTTATATTATATGTCTATATGTTTAAATAAGACATCACATTTTAAATAGCACAGAAAATATTCTGGTAAACAGAGTAAAATATAAAATAAAAAATCTAAACAAACTTAACTAAACTTAACATACCATCTTCATTAAAAATACATATAATGGATTTCCCATGTATTCCACTCGCATATCGCATAGCAACCGAGCGATTTCACAGTTTATACCAGACCTGAGTGGCACGAGCGCAACAGCCTTCCCTCCCGAATGTGAGACGTATCACGTCCTGCGATGTTTGTCATCAAAGGATACTTCTTAGATACAATTAACTACACACCCACGTATGGCGGCTGGCCATAATTACCGCTTACAGATTATTGTACTAAACTAATTACTAAAAGTTATTGCAGGTACTACATTGGCCCTGATATAATGTCCAATTTATTGAAGATCATTTCATCATTACTTGTCATGTCCTAACTGCATGGGAAATTAACATATAGTTCCATGTTCAAATGGCATAATTGCTGACGTAGAATCAGCTTGATTGGAAGATATATCAGAATACCTTGTTTTAATCAGTGTGTTTTACTCGTATCAAATTACTTGTTCTTTTTTTTAGCAAGTCTCCACAGAGTCCACGTTTACATTTGTCATCTATCATTGGAGCTACTTTTAAATCTTTCCTGTAGCTTGACAGAAGCAAATGTGCGATCCCATGCATATACCATTTAATGCAACACTTCTGCCAAAACATTCATTCTCAGTATCACTTATATGTGTTTCCCACGGCACAGTTTAGCGGCAAGGCATTTACATTAATAACCGCCTCATGTTCCCACAGCAAGAGACAGCTGCTACACGCAAAACCGCGGGACGTTTTGCTCTGGGCACAATAATAATAATAATAATAATAATAATAATAATAATAAAAATAAGTTTGGTTTACACTATACCAAAGAGGATAAGAGAATGACCATTTGCTTGGAGTGATGCTATTGCCGAAAAACGAGAAACACAAACCATTTAATCAGGGCACTGACTGGAATGTTGTCAAATATGTGGCCCGGGGGACTTTCACTAAAAATAGCTCCCGAGTGTGTTTTGAAATGATTTTATTTACATGGTCCCAGGATTTTTTATTTTTAAAATGCGGTGCCGGTAGTTAAAACCATGTGCGATATTTATTTGCAGGGTGTACAATGGAGATTAGACCATTTAGCGCATAGCAGCCTGTTCTACGTACACAAGATTATGTGTGACAGCTTATCCTGGGAAAATACCGATCACACATGAGAGCCAGTGTCTGATATGTGAATTTTTGGGATTCATTTGAAATAATCATTTCGCTCAAACAAGCATGTGTTTTTTGTACATCTCAGCAATGCATGCAGATTGTTTCTTTACAAGCCTATTTTTTTGCAAAATACTTACTTCGGATCTCCATACAATAGAAGACTGGGTGCTGGATTGATGCAATTTTTTCTGAAGCCACTTTCGTGGCGAAAAGATGGAAGTCGTGCTTCCCAGTGGACTAACCGCTTGGCTTTTTGTGAGGAAGGGTAGATCCCAAGGAATACTCCGTTTCACGACCCTAGGATCGTAGTCAAATTGAAACACCGAAGACGGTGAAATGTCCAGTGGAGTAGACGGACTGGAAAAAGATGAAATCGGCTGTTTCAGCTTCAACACCTTGGAGCGATGGTCAAGTTTGGAGCCAGGCAGATATTCTGGGTTCGAGGAAAAAACACCTGCTTCCCGCGATCCCAAAGCTCTGCTCTCCAGATTGTCATATTCTTCTGATGTGCCTTCAGTGCCGTAGTTTCCTATTATAGCGGGGTCCAAACTTCTTGTCTGCCGTAGTCTTCGCTTTGACAAAGTTTTGGATGTAGGGGACGAGCATGAGAAAACACTGTGTAAGAGTCCTTGAGCTGACATCTCCTTTCCCCTCTAGATTAATATCTGTCCTTGATAGTTGCTCCCAGGTACATACTAGACTAATAATGCTTTCGAGTTTTCTCCACACCCAACGCTGTCCCATGCATCACTCCGATTCACAGGTCCGGATATCATCATATTGACTTATGATGAATTTCTGTTTTGTATAGCCTATATATAATTTATAAGGAAGTACCTCTAGAATAAACGAATATCGATTTAAAATGTCAAGGTGTAAGCTTGCATGGTTAGTCAGCCTAGTTATCCCCGAGGCTTACTCTAGCTGGAAGTTCTCCTTTAGCGTCACGCGGCTTCGCCCCTCTCTGAGTAACACGGTGTTGGGACGCTCCCTTCTCCTGCGCCGGCTCTCTCATCCCGTCTCTTTTTACTTCAGACACTGATAACGGTCCCACCCCAATTCCACAATCTTTTACTCACCATAAAACCAAAGAAGATAAACATTTAGTTTCGGAGCGCTCGGTTTAAAAAGATCGAAAATCCAATGTCATAAGCAGTTTGAAGAGATCATTTTTTCGTCATCTAGTGTAACTTGCTGTCACCTGACGTTAAACAAAACAATATCAAATGCACTGCGCGGCATACTGTAGTTCCTATTATCGAATATAACCTCGTTAATGTAGTTTGCTAGGTGCTTATTAAATGCAACTCAAACAATAATTGTAGTTTGCGCTTCAGAAAAGACACTTGGTATGGTCTGTAAAAGCCCCCTACCTCGGGGATTTGCGGGGGAGGTAAAGTCGTGTGATGAAAGAGTCTATGAAGTAACCCGGGATGTCACTGATAAAAGTGGGACGGATACTGGCTGCCCTAAAACAGATGGAGGAAACGGAGGAAGGGCTGTTCTGTGATACATGCAGTCGTATTGCCCCCATGACGTCATCCCCGATGACACAATCACAGACGGATGACGCTGTAAGCGAAACCTAAGATTTGCTCCTCGAATATCAAAATAATCGTTTTGCACATGTTTTATTTTAAGAGATAAACAGGGGGAAAACAGCAAAGTACCTCTCTGTAACCGAAAGCTAGTTAACCTTGAGGTCACTCTATAATCATTGAATTGATTATTCTGAATAAATATTTGTATTCAGGGGCATACGTGGATATTCTGGGCCCCCACTAAGGACGGAAGAAATAGGAAGAGCCCACGGTAGAATTTGCCGACCTGAGCGTATAATGTGCACCGATATTTTCATTTATACATGCACTGGTCTCCATTAGTATATTCAAGGCCCCCTATAAATGAATGACTTCCCTGAATATGCCATGATATCCATGACCCTCCATCACCCCTCTTTCTATGTTATGATAGACTACAAATTTGTTTTGCCAAGAACAATTTACATTTGCCATGCAATTAAGATTTAACGACCTAAAGAATCTTATCTTAGAGCGCGCAATCCTAACACAAATATAGGCCATTCTCCGTTAGAATGTCTGTTAACATGTCCTATTATCATACCTGCAAAATGAAGAGCTTAATTCCAAATATATTTCAATATATTTTAATGCAAAATGTAATGTTTGTCACTAATACTATCACATCATGAGGCATTTTGTCACAAATTCATTCATTTTCAAAGTGTCAATGTTCAATGACAGTACAACTTAGAAACTCTTAATAATATAATATTAATTAATAATAATATTATTGGGGGTGCCGATATTACACTGGTTTTATGTGCACCCCATTGTGCCTGTGAAGTAGTTCCTTGGCAGCTACTGCAGCTTGTGTGTGTGCATTGAAAAACAGGCATCAGTCACATTTGATCTTAGAAGACAATTACAATGGGGACTGTGTGCACCTTTGTGTCCATTTGAAATCGCATGGTAGTTACTTAGTTATACCACTGGTATTTCTTATGGATCTTACAGTTTTGTCACAGAAAACAGTGGTCATGGCGCAAATGACAACATATTAGATAAAATATAAATATTTAGTCAATTGAAGAGTGTAAATAATACAAAAGACGTTTTCAGACATGGGTATTAAGGCATATACAAAGAAATATGGGTATCCACCTAATTGATGGGGGAAAGATTGTGCAAGTGGCCATGCAAGTGGAATGTACAATAAATGAAAAGGTGTCACAAGTAGGACTCAGAACATTCTGGTAAAAACACATTTATTGGTTTTCACATTACCAGTTAATCAATCCAGTAATTTTGGAGATTATCCAGGTTGGTGGAGTGTGAGGAGTAGGGATCAGATGGTGGGGGTGACGAGGCTGACTGGGGACACACCGGTGCCATCTCAACAGCAGCTTTTACAAGTACTGTTACATTTTCTTCTTCACAGAGGTGAAATATATAACTGAGTGATGCTACACCTTCACACAAACAAAGGAAGTCAAGGTCCTTGATAACTGTAGGAAATGATGGATATTAAAGGGAGGGGGGGCATGTAGGAGGAACACAGTGGCAGTGGTCAGTCATCCCGAGCAGCAGTGCACACCTCACACCACCGAACTGGGGGTTTCTGCGGCATTCAATAAGCTAACGGCCACATACACAGGAACTCTGCCCAGCCACCCTGGGGGGCAGGAACATACAGCTATGCAGGGAGGTGGCATGGTGATGCAGTGGTTAGCACTGTTGCCTCACACCTCTGGGACCTGGGTTCAAGTCTCTGCCATGGCTCCATGTGTGTGGAGTTTGAATATTCCCTGCTATGTTGTCATGGAGTTTCCTCCTGGTTCTTCAGTTTCCTCATAGGCCAAAAACATGCTGAGAGTAATTGGGGAGTGTGTGTGTCTTGCAATAGGTAGGTGCCCCATCCTGGGTTGTTCCCTGCATTTTACCTGTAGGCACCAAACCCCCAGCAACCATGAATAGGACAAGCAGGTACAGAAAATGGATGGATCAAACAGTACTGTCTTTGTATCCTTATTTTGACATTTTTTTATATTTTGCATCTTTGCTAAGAAATGAAATGTTGTACATTCATTTCTGACCTGTAGACTACATGGGATACTTTGTCATTGATCATTCCATTTATGCCAACCATTAAGCACAACAAATTAAAATTTCAACATTTTCAAGAGGAATGTCTAAATATTAGCTCTCTGTGACATACAAAACATTGATGAATTCTGTAGTTAAATGACAGCACCTCTTGCGAATGTTTTATTTACTGATTCCAGTGAACTGCTAGCCAGGAATCCTGTTGTAAGCCAAGCTTGTTGATATTATACATACAGGAAGGGAGCCATCTAGTGGGCAATGTCATTTCCTGAAAAGGACTTGATTTGTGAACTATCTGCAGTAAAACGGACTAAAAAGGGGAAAAAAAGAAAAGTTCTTTCTACTAAAGTCTCCTGTAGTGCATTTATAAAGACCACCAAATGATCCGTAACAATATCTGCAGTACAGACATTCCCAATTAAGTTAAATCGTTAAAGTGTACGATACATGTAGAGGTAACAACAGCAATAAGTAATAATCATAATCACCCTGGGGTCTGTATCATGAAACAGGATTTCTTGCTTAGCTTGATAACTTGTCAGACTTAAGGTAGTTTGGAGCAAATGTAAGTGAGTGAAGATAAACTTCATTTAAACTGGCATACCTTAAATCCAACAAGTTATCTAGCTAACCAACAAACCTTGCTTCATGATACAGGCCCTAGGTCACACAGGGCAGTTAGTAGACAGGACAAAGCTGCTGTGATACCATCACATTCAGTGGTTATTCACGCATCCATTTTGGTCCTCTGAAGAAATCAATGGACTTCTAACCACTAGTAAATGCATATCATTTAGTTTGTAAAATTAGCACAGCAATGCTCAGACTGTAAAAATGATCATGGTTCAAATCAATGTGGAAGACAACAAAAAAGCAATTAGCAGTAGGGAGAACAGGACCAAAACTGGGCTGGGAGAAGAGGAGAAACTTGGCCATGCTGTGGATGACCTAACGTCAGTCATCTCCTCAGCTACTTCTTGCATCATTTCGATTTTTGAGGATCCCTCTTAACTTCTGGATTTGTGTATAACATTTACTCTGTGAGCTCTTTATCTGTCCTCTGATTTATTTCAATAGCTCTGGAGCAAATGGAACATTTGTTCGTCTGTAGAACATTTTTCTGGGAAGCCTTAGGCTAGTTTAAGGTTTTTTTTTTTTTTTTTTTTTTTTTTTTAGTTCAGGCTGCCCTTTTTGTGTCCTTTTCAAGAACAGGCCCCTGCAGCCACATAACCCTTCCTGATTTAGAGCCCTGCGGACAGTGGTAGCGGACACTACTGTTCCAGATCTCTCAAGGTCAACCTTTAAGTCTTCAACAGTTGCACATGGTGTTTTTTTAATAGTTCTCACCAGCCGTCGCAGAGACTTCTGATCAATTTTCCTCTTACGCCCACGTCCTGCTTGGTTCAATACTGTCCCATGGGCTGCAAATTTCTTGATAACATTGCGAACTGTTGAGACAGGAACACCAAGGTCTTTCGAAATGGATTTGTAGCCTTTTAGTTTTTTATGTTTGGCAATGATTTTTTTTCTGATATCCACAGATAGCTCTTTTCTCTTGGCCATTTTCACCGAGGAAAGCTAGACAATAAATACAGTACAAGTCTTCAGAACTGCATGCATGCGAAGATTAGATAGAAAATTACCTGTAACAATACAGCTGAAAGGAAGAAAATGAAAATCAGTTACTTTGCATCAAAATCAGTAGCTGGAAGGAGCCAGTAATTTTGCACGAGATTTTTTTGTAATTTCTTAACAAAAATGTTTAACAAAAGTGAGACCAGCGTCGATTGTTATATTTATAAATATGCTAGGGTGCCAATACAATTGACGTGATGGGTGCTGCGATGATAGTCATCCTCCAGCAATATGGGGTTCAGAAACAAATATTAATCGAATCGATCGGGAAGAAAACGCACACCCAACCGTATGACAAAGAACAGCACAGAAAACTGATCAGAAGGGAACGGAAGAGACCGGAAGGGACCATCGGCACGAAACACCTTCCGCCCAGGACGCGCGTACTAAAACACGCGCTGCTGCTTCTTAGCTGCTACGGAGTCCTACGAGGGTCAGTCCGCGATTTGTTTTCCGCGTTTCAGCTATCGGGGACTGCATCCTAGCTATCCTTGTGTTTTCCCCTCTCCAGGAACCAGGATTGGTTTGATAAAGCACGGCGGTGAACGGGTTAAGGAGTCGGGGGGTTCAGATTCCTCCTCTCCTGCTCGCCATGATGAACAAATGAACTCTCGGGGAATGAAATTTAAATTTCACAAAGGAGAAAAAGTTCTCTGCTTTGAACCAGACCCAACTAAGGCTAAAGTGCTGTATGATGCAAAGGTAAAAAACGAGCTCACCGGTAACTTCGTACAAGGCCCTCTGTGCGCGCATTACTGTGTTTTCTACGTTTTTCTGTAGTAAGCTAAAATAAACTGATTTCTGCGTAGTTTTTGATTCCGTTTATAGTCCCGGCTAAAGGGCTCTTAGCACACGGCAGCACAGCAAGCGTGTCATTTTTGCTAATTAATAGCAGAAAAACAAGAACGCACCCAGATGCAAACTCTTTAAACAGTAATTAGTCGTTTAAGTTATGCTGCACGCGTTAGATTACTGGTTGCATGTAGTTATTTGGCTAAACGTTTTAGTTTGTTTACGTAAGGCCTGCAATGGCTCATTATAAACGCCCGTGTCTTAGTCTTTCACTTTTATTATTATTATTTTGTTTCATTGATGGTTTTGTGCATTTGAAGATGAAAATACAAGATGCGGTGTGGTTTTACTTTCTTGCCGATCGGCGATTTTGCAGCTGAACTGCTGTTTCGGACCCGACTAACTCCTGCACTTCCTGTTTCGTTGGATTCTGCCCGTCATATTTAGACATTTATTTTTGTTAAGAACTGAAACGAAACGACCTTAAGTCAGACACGAGGCCACTAATATTCTCTTTCTGCGTGTGAAATGTTAATTGTACAAAAATTAATTAAAGTTTTACTTTTTAAAGTGGCCATTTCTCCCAACGCCGGCTTACCTGGGAGGTTCCTTATATATAATACAGCAGCTGAGAATCTCGTTGTGACCCTTTCAGGTGGTTGACGTTGTCCTGGGCAGAGATGAGCGGGGCAGGAAGGTCCCGGAGTATCTGATCCATTTCAACGGTTGGAACAGAAGGTAGCCTCATCTTCCGAATCTTTGTACTGAACTCCTGTTAAATATTTATTCATTCATTCAATCATCTGAAACTGTGCTTACGAATTTCCGTAATATTAATCTGTGTTTAGAAAAGGAAGTCGACCACATCAGCGTCATAGCAATGACCTTTACCTCTGAGATCTGTCATTTGCAAAATGCTAATAATGTTAGCTTAACATTAGTGTCCTGATTAGCCTAGCACTGGCTTATGCAGAGCAGCACTTAGTGTTGGCTATGCCCAGAACACACTGTGCCATTAGGGACTACATACTGGTTTTCTCCCCCCCTTTTATCTTTGCAGCTGGGATCGCTGGGCCGCAGAGGACCATGTTCTCCCTGACACAGACGAAAACCGCAGACTGCAGCGAAAACTGGCTCGCAAGGCTGTGGCTCGCATGTGAGTATCAGAGTTGGTGATGAGACTGTACCTACTTGCACTGCTTTGAAAATGACATGGCTTCTGTGTCTGGTTTTGTAACAAACATGTTTTTCCACAGCATTTTGAATGTAATGGGGGCCTCTCACACAACACCTTACCTGTTAGATCTTCTTCCCCCCGCCAGGTTGAATGAAGCATGCTGCAAGTTTCATACACAACTGTCATGCCATTCATTCAAAGTTGGCAGTATGACGCTCTTATACAACATTTTTTGTTTGTAATTGGGACCTTTTCTGTTCTTTCATCTTCTCACCTACTGCAAGTGCAGGCTGAATACAACCTACTATAGATGGGAGGCTTGGAATGAAAGTGCTTTTTAGGCCATAACTATCTCTCTCTCTCTCTCTCTCTCTCTCTCTCTCTCTCAGGAAGAGAAAGGGATGGAAGAAGAGACGCTGTCGTCTTCCAGGTGTTGACTCAGTGCTGAAAAGCCTACCTGAGGAGGAGAAGGGAAACAGTGATGATGCGTGTGAGTAATGCTTCAGCCTGATGATTGGCCACCACATTTGTCAAATTTCTGATGTTAAACTGGTCAAGTAAAAATCATGACTCTGGAGTTTGAATGTTATGGTCAGTTCCAGCATTAACATTTCTTTAAGACCATGCCATTTTAAAATGCAGACAGCAGGAAACTGAGCTGCTTCTGAGGCACCTTTTCCTGTTCACCTTAAAAGCTTTTGATGTGGTGAGAGAAGTAATCCTGAGAGTACCTATGTTTTTATTGTTCTTTGAGCCGTCCTATAGGGGCTAGCCATGCATTCCAGTTCCGTGTCCTTATTTCTAAATGTTACTTTTGTCAGTGTGGTGTGATGACTCATTGGGTGGTGCTGTTGTCTCACAGTACCTGGGTTGGGAGTCTGATTCTCATTTTCCGTCTGGGTGGAGTTTCACGTTCTCCCTCTGTCACATGGAATTCCTCCTGCAATTCAAAGACATTGGCTCTAAATTGCTTATAGTTTGTATGAATGTCTTTGTTTGTATTTCCCCTGTAATGGACTGGCCTCCTTTCTAGGGCTGCAAGATACCACATTGTGATATAATCACGATTGTATAGTGTTTGCACCAAGGCTTTAGATAGCAGGCAAAAACATTTGTCTAGAAGCCGGTTTTTTGGTATTATGTACATGTACATGCATCTACAGTTTGGTAAACACAGTAGTAATATGCCTGAAATGTTAATGAGAGGCATATTGTAACGCCCAAATGTTGCAGTAATCTGTATAAATTTGGCGTATCATTATGTTTATTAAATACAGATAGCAGAGCACATACTTTTTTGCTATATCATGGAAGCAATAAGCACTGAACTGAAAGGTACAGCTCAACAGCCACAACATCTTTTAAAAGAGGAGATATTGTGGATAAAAAAGGCAGTGGTGGTGTGGTGGCGCTTCCTGCAGTTTAATGTCCAGCACAATCATTAAACACAAGAATACGATGGATTTATACAGATTATAAACTTTTGGGCATCACAATACGCCTCTCTTTAATATTTTCAGCGCACTACTAATCGGCAAATTGTGGGAGTAAGTAAATGCCTGTATATTATTGAAAAGCCGGCGTCTGGACAAGTGTTTACACCCACCTTCTACAGTCGTGCTGCTCATTGTGCATTCCCTCAGTCTTTCTTTTGATGTACAAGATGCACTGCTTTGTTGTTAAGACGCTTCGCAGTTCGCCCTGCATGAGGCTGCTGGGAATCTCAGGACTGAAAATGCTGCTCGTACACAAACGTGCTGCTGCTTTTTATACAGAAATTCAGCCCTCCTTTTCTTCTAATGGCTGAGGCACTTTCTCCTTAAATCAGTGTTGCAGGGAAACTGATGGAAGACTAAATGTGGCTGTTTTTTCTTTGAGTTAGTGCAAAGCAGCACACTAGAGCTACTAAGTATTTTCACCGTCATCTTTCTCAAGTCCCCACTATGACAACTTCTGTTACATGAAACCTTCAGTGAGAAATGCGTCTATCAGATGTCTGTGTTCCCCCGTGGTCCTGCACGGAATGAGTGGTTGAGAGATGGCACGATGACTGACTGTGTTTCCTTCGTCTTTGCATAGCTCTGATTTCTTCTTCTGAAGACAGCGAAGAGGGCAACTCGGAGGACGTTGAATCATTAAAAACTGAGAGTGACTCATCTGAAGACCTGGAGGAAATGGTAACGATTCACTGTTACACGACTGTGGTAAACATTTAAACACACATGCAAGGTACTGATTGTTGCCTCTTCATCTCCCAGAAGGAAGAACAAGAGGCTCACGCCAAACGGGAAAGTGAGGATAAAACAATCAAGATCGATATCCCTGAGGTTCTTAAGAAAAAGCTGGAGGATGATTGTTACTATGTCAACAAAAGGAAAAAGGTGCAGATCTTCAAGCAGCTGGTAGATAATCCTTGTTGATGATCAGTGGATTTAGCTATGCAAGAGCGTAGTAATGCAAAACTATTGTTCAGAAGGCTTTTTTTGTGGAAATTGTTGGTTCTTTGTCATAGAAATGTTATATGAGGTCTAAAATTATATGGGAAACTGTATTGCTACCCCCGACCAAAGTATTTAGTTCTTTCATTTGTTTGACTAAATAACTATTTGTTCTCAACCAGCTGGTGAAGCTTCCCTGCCAGATGAATATCGTGAACATCTTGGAGTCCTACGTGAAACATTTCACCATCAACGCGGCCTTTTCCGCCAACGAGAGATACCGGCACCCCCAAGGCGTGACTCTTGTTGGATCTAACCCTCACTATGTTCCCCCCGAAAGAAAGTGAGTTCCAGTGCAGCGCTGTGTGAAGTGGTGCCCCCTAGTGCTTTAATTCTTCAATGTGTTTTGGTTACTTTGTTTCCATGTTCATAAATCTTGTTGATTCAGACGATCAGGGCTGAGTTCTAAATTGTATCATAGTTGAACTCCATGTTGTAGAAACCTCAGCTTAGTCTTAAATCCGGGGAACTCCTTTGTCTTCTGCCTTACTTTTCATGCTTCCTGTAGACCCAAATTGGGCAGCCATTGTTCCGCGCATATATTAAGTAATGTGCACCGCAGGGGTGTCTACAAGCCAACCCTGTCTCATTGTAGAGGCCACACGTTTTAGTTATCCTCCCCGTGTTTAGATTATCATTGTGTGTGTTTTGGTGTCATGGGATATTCGCCATTTGGAAAATGACTGTGGCAACTGTTTCTGGATTTTTGCTGCTGCGCCGCTGCTCTTCCTTGGAAATCGTTATGTGTTCCCCATAAGCCTGCTTCTCACCATCGATATTCTTCTCTAGTGAGGAGCTGTGCAAGGAGATGGTGGACGGGCTGCGGATCACATTTGATTTCACGCTCCCAGTGATTCTCCTGTATCCTAATGAGCAAGCTCAATTCAAGAAGGTCAGCTCATCCAAGGTGTTCATGCCCATTAGGGATGCAGCCGTGACTTCTGGAAGGTAAGGGGTAATTGTTGTGGATAGCGTGTCCTGTGGTGTCCCTTCCTGCACCTGATGTCATCGCTTTCTGCTAGCTGCTACAAAGGGAAACCTTGGCCTCCACTGTAGATGGATGAGTTCAGATGAGGCTAATTGTGTTTTCTTGGCTGCTTTTGGGAAAAGCTCATGAAAACATTTGTAGTCCCAGATTACAGCACAAACGGCACATAGGGGGAACTGCTTTTGTTCAGCACTATTGTTTTTTTTTTTTCTTTCTTTCTTTTTAAACCAAGGACTCTGTACAGGCTGTTCTTCCTGTTTTTACACATTGCCGTCTGGCTTATTTTTGTGTGTTTTATTCAAGCGGCAGTCAACTCTACAAATCACGGTCTTCTCTCGCTGTCACGCTTTGTGCGACGATCAGCGTGATTAATTGCCTAACTAAAAGTGGATCCGTAGAGGAACATTTTCGCTAAAGAGTGCTAAACGACAATTCTGTTTAGGCCTGAATAAAGCCCGTTGGTTTCCAGTGAGATACTCAAGTCATTGATCTTTTCATTGAGGCCCTCTGCCTGCAGGAATAGCTATACTTGGGTGTCGTAAAACTCAATACGTTTAGTTTCTCTTTGGAAAAGATGGCATGAAGTGATTTCTCTGCCACCTTTTTCCTACCCACTCAAATACCATTCAGATTAAGAGTCTTTCTTGTGTGCATATCGTGTTTCACATTACATTTAGCAGACACCTTTATACAAAGTGAGTGAGCATCAGAAAGCCGGCTCAAACAGTGTGTGTGGAGCAATTGGGGTTAAGGGCCTTGTTCAAGGTCCTGACAATGACATCACCCTATTGACCATGGGATATGAACCGGCGACCATCGTCATACGGGCATAGAGCCGTGGATTAACACACATTTAAAATTCAAATGCCAGACTGCTTCATGAAATGTAAGTGTGTTTCTCCCCCCCCCCTGCCCAGGATGCCACGGGAGTGCTCCCCCAGCCCCCCAGGCCTGAACCCCTCCACGCCGCAGGCCTCGGACTGTCAGTTGGCCCCTGGCGAGCCGTCCACGCCGAAACGGCGGCGTGCCGACTCTGAGGCCCCCATGTCCCTGCGCCGTTCCACCCGTCACACCTCTGGGGGGGACCGGCTGTCTGACCCCGGGGCGTCCCCCCAGCCCAAGAGGCGGCACTCGGAGATGGCTGCCTCGCTGCCGAGATTCATCCTCAACCTGGAGAAGAGTAGGTGCCTGTGTTCTCCTGTTCTCCGTTTGCCTGTGTGCTTCCGCCATTAGGGGCCTCATGTTGCTGTAGCCAAGCGGCTTTTTGCGTATCCGTTTCACCCGTAATGCCGTGGAATGGAGGGAGAGCTGCCTGCTTCCTTTCCTTCTGTCTGGGTGTAAAGGTCTTTCCTTTATCTGGGTTAGGGACTCCTGTTCACAGCGGCTCCTCCTCACCCTTACCGCTGACTCCCAGTAAGGAGGGCGGCTGCGTCTTCTCAGCCCTGGAGAGCAGCAGGAGCAATGAACTCAATGAGGTTTGTCTGTCTATTGTGTGTAGCTATTTTTATTAGGTTTCCATAAAAATATAATAACGATGAGATTGTGTGGGAGCTTCCTGTAATTATGCAGGATGGATGTAGCTTCTACCTGGCTGTACCTGTGCTCCCAGCCATACAGGTTTGCCCCTTACCCCTAAGCATCCCGTCATTGGTGATCGTAGGTCTTGAGCTGGAAGCTCACTCCGGAAAACTACCCGCAGAGTGACCAGCCACCCCCCCCATCCTACATGTACGGCTCACAGCACTTACTACGCCTCTTTGGTGAGCTCCTCCCTGACCTCTAGTGGTTAAATCCTCCGTGTCACTCCATTCCGTCAGCTCATGGGTTGCTGGGCTGTTAGTTGTCGTCCTGCAGTTTTTCTGTCCAGGTGGTCCTGCGTCTCCTTTACCCGCACCCCCACCCCAAAGGGTGCAGCGTAGCATGTCACTGTTTCCCAGATGTAGGAATAAATGTGGCTCATCCACACCAGCATGATTTATTTATTTAATGTATTGATTGATTGATTGATTGATTGTGCATCTTTATTGGGTAAAGCTGTTTGTTTCTGTGACATGTTCTTCTTCGGCTTTGTTTCAGTGAAACTCCCAGAGATCTTGGGGAAAATGCACATCCCTGACAAGAACCTGAGGGCTCTGGTGAAGCACCTGGAGCTCTTCCTGGGGTACGCTGAGAGCACCTTCCCTGTCACACAGCGCCCTGCCCATGTCCTACCCTCTTGTTTTGTTGCTCATCAGCTCAGCGTCTTGCCAATAGTTAATTTCAAGTACTGTAAAGGGGTGAGACAACATCCAAGAATGAGCTCATTTAGCTGTTAATGGGCCCACACAGAATTTACTTAAATTAAGGGTATAACTAATTTCTCACATTTGCATACTTATCAAACCTAGCAGCTTGGAGATGCTTAGCACACCCAGTAGCAATGTTTGTGGTGCGCATGTTCAAAGCTTTTCCGGCAAGAGCCTAAGTAATCTGGTGAAAATTCCCATCTGGCTGAAATACAACACAGATCAGCTAGTGGAGTATGTTAAGTATGAGTCCTTTATGGAGCTGGAAGTGACTTTAAAATGAATTATGGGTGGCCTCCGTAACACAAAACATTTACATTCCCATTGTCTGGCCCCTGAGCACCAGGGCGAAGACCATTAGCCTTCAGACATCTCTGGATAATGAATACAGCTGTGTCTGTTATGGTCGATGCAATGAATGTATTTTTGTTTGCAAGTTCTTTTTTTAAATTCAGAGCTTTTTCCAGTAAGAAATGAGAGTTCTGAAACATTAAAAATGACACCAAAGTTAGCTGTGACAGAAGTGTGTTATGCTGCTTTGTCAGAAAGACAGAAGACAGTGAGGACAGTAAACCATGCAGTGGGTTTAAGAGAGAGGAAAGGTTATTTAGATGTGATGGATTAACTTTAAGGTCAGCCAGTAGTCAGCACACTGCTGCTTATACTGTACAGGTCAGATGGCTTGCAGGTTAAATCCCAGGGTCCTCTTCACTGCAAACAGGACAGATGGGTTTTTAAAGTTCTGTGGGTCATTGCATGGTTTAACCTTGTAGAAAGTGGGATATTAACTCATGAAAATGGGCTGACAAATTGACAGCAGGGAAAAGGTGGATTTTAAAGCTTTCCTCCATTACATGTTCATCACAAAGAATTTTGGGAGAAATTATGAGTAGGCCAAGGAAACAAGCTACTGGATCGTTTCCAAAAATCAGAATCTGATGGATTGCTTTACAGTATGTCACTCACTTTGCATGATAGTTATTGATATACAGGCTGGGTATTCCTTTAGAAGTGGAGCATGGATTTCAGGGCGTTCAATTATGTTGGTTAAGACATGCTTGTCCTTCCCGAATGCACAGAGGTAAGGAAGATTAGTGGAGTTACGCAAGCCCCATTCTGGGCCGTAATCCTTAATCCTGCCAAATGATCTTCAGACGGCAGCAGTTGGGGGATTTTCGTTGCCTTCACTAATCAATGTTCCATTCTCTTTGTAAAGGCTGCTGGCTGCTGGCTGCTGCCGTCCAGTGAGACGCTAAGAGCTCTCTGTCAGCTGGCCAGATTTACTCTAGTGTCACATCTAAGAGAAATCATTAGGTATTGCATGTCAAGTCTGAGAAGAAAGGTGTGTAGGAATGATTTAGAGTAATTTTCAAGCTGTTGGCCTATGTGAGAGTTAGTGAACGTTGGTACCTGTCTGTCTTGTCTGTCCTTATTTTGTTGCAATGGCTCTTTATTACCAGGAATAATTTGCTAGTGTTAATTGGGTAAAAGGTGTTAGTTTTCAGTTTACCCTGATTTCCCTGCTACCAATAGAATAAGGTCTATAAGGCAGGAATTTGATAGCGAGATTTGGAGAGATTTAACAAAATGGCAGGTATATTCCTTCCAAAATTTTGCCTTGAATAACGGTTCAAGATGGTGTCCTTTTGAGGCTGCTATTGTTGGTTTATGGACTCTATGGGCGTAGGGGGTGAGAATGACATTGCAGAGGCTGTCGCTGACAGGTAGGTGTCTCTGTGGGCAGCCTGGGCGATTCAGCACTCTGCCCTTTCGTGCTGACTGCAGCTGTCCTGGCAGCATCAGGAGCTCTGCGAGAATCCCCCCCCCCCCCCCAGGGCTCAGTGTGAAGATGGTACACTCACTTTGTTCTTTGCTGATGATGGTGACTTCTGATTGATCACCGTGTGGACAGCATGCTAGCTTTGAACACTTTTATTCATACACATTCGGGGCTTGATTTCAATTATTTAAACGCATTCATAAATTTGTCAGCTCGGTCCTCACGGCTCCATGTTCTGCAAACCGGAGAATCTTTCTTCTGCACATAGGGTTTGCTTTATAACTAACTGGCTCCTGTGCTTTAGTGAAAGACCACAAGGTTCCATTATTGCCATTTGTCTCTGAAATTGAGGTTTAGACACTCGGCAACATAATGCCTACAGTGTGACATCACAGTAGTCATAGTGGTGCTGTTTACTGTCAGCAAATATGTTATGAGCACGTCTGTGCCGGCTCACCCCCCTGCAGGTTCTTGGCGGAGTTTCATGAGGATTTCTTCCCTGAATCTGCCTATGTGTCTGCCTCGGAGGCCCACCACAGCATGAAGAACCCCCGGGCCCTCTGCTGACGGCTTGCCAGGCGGGGTCGAGAGCTCCAGTGTCTTCCTGCTGCTGTTATCGATGATGGTGCTGGTACTGCGCCTTCGGCGACCAGCTGGCCCTCCGTGATGCAGCTGCCCTCGCCTCTCTTCCAATGGCAGATGATGGAGCCCAAGCCCTTTTCTGCTTCAGATCTTCTGGACCGCTGCGGCCACGTTCTGGACCCCTGAGCCTTGACCTGGAGATCTGTTCCTGCTTGGTGACTCCTGATATGCTGTTCAGCTTTGACTGCAGCAGTGTTTATTTTTTTTCGGGAGACATTAGGCCGAGTAAAGTGGAAACCTTTTTAAAGATGATTCCCTGTTGATTTGGATGTTTTCTCCCATATTGGCCTTCACTGAACTCTCTTATTTGCTGACACAATGGTCCAGCTGTGGATATCACTGTTAGTTTTTTATTTTTATTTTTATTTTTTATATATAGTTTTGAGAATAAAAAAATGTTTATAGAACAGTTCCCATCAGCAAAGTTTTTTTTCCTCTTCTTTTTCCATTCTGCTGGTCTGTGTTTTTTTTTCTTGCAGTGTTATGCTGCTGAAGAAAAAGGTTTTCAGGTCAAATTCAGACAGCACAAGTTCCATATAAAATTTCTTTATAAAAGTCTGTCATTGCAATTTTTTTGTACATTCTGAACGTGTCAAATTCAGGTTCTGAGATGTTGTATATGAAGCTGAATTTCCCTCTATTGTCATGCATGGGTTTCCTAGGTTGTGTGTACGATGCAGGAGTAATCTCCTCAAATGTGAGGGATACATTTTTCTGTAATATTAAGTGGTGCTTTCATAAACATCAGCTTGGGTAAACACAATGTAGTTTAAGTATTTTGTATTGGGAAAACATTGTGGATAATACCGTAATACTGAAATTTGCTTCATTTCCACTATCTGGTGTGAACACATTACTGAACTGCATTGTAATATGACACAGAAGGTAACATTAATTGTCCTTGTCACATTTGGATGTGTGTGGGGAAAAATGAACTGACATTGGTCATATTCTGCTGTGGGGCGAGGACAATGTGCAAAGGCTAGGGATGAGTGCGAATGCATATTTACATTGTGTTATGGTGTCCTAAGCTGAGTATCTGCTTCTTACCATCAAGTTGATCATTAGACCTCAGTGAGCAAAATTGCCCTTACTCCTATATATACTACATATACTTATGTCATAAGTTTTAAACTTCATCCATCCAAAAATGGCTGCCCTCCTGTATAAAAATGTGAAATAGACTGCACAATATGAGTAATTAATGCAATGAGAAAGGCTTTAGGATTTTAATGTTTAATGTAGCTGTCCAAAGCTTAGCCGTCTGGGGAAGAACATTATGAAAGCAGTACAGAATGAAGTTTAAATGAGCTTCATCATCTTGGGTTGTAGATGTCGGCGTATGGTGACTGACTTACTGTGCTGTTTCACATTAATATTTCAGTGATGTTTTAATGAGCTTTTCTTTATAGTGATAGATTCATGGTATTTAAACTGGATGTTTTTTGTCATGCAAATGATGATTGATAAGCTTTTTTGCTGGTATTTCATATCTAATTTGCAGCTTTATGAAGAGAACCTATGATGAAGCAAGTAAATATGCAATTTATACAAGCTGAATGGAAAATAGAATTAAAGCATCTAGGGTAAACTGTAGAGCCTTCATGTTGAAAGAGATATATGTAGTTTCACCAAATGCAAATTTGCAGAAAAGAATATCATTGGGACAGCTAGGGTTGCAGTAAAACCAGCTGTATGTGTAGTTGGAATAATAACTTGCATTTTCTATATAATGTTACTAAAATGCATGTTTAGAACTCTAAAAGATACTTATGGTGCTTTTTCTCACACTTGTAATCAGAACATATTTTTTCCAGTACTGAAAATGTGCTAAACATTGAATTGAGGGGAAAAAAACGGGGAAAATATATATATATACACACAATTTTTCTATAAAAGGAACTTTTTGTATAGAACTATGCCAGTGCTTAACAATGGGAGTCGTATATTTGTCTTTAGTATTTGCTGTGTCTTTAATCTCCAAATTTTAGGTATTTCAGTAATACACAGGGTAACTGAAAACAGTGATTTTGTGGTCACAAAGCAGTCCTAAAATTTATAAGAATACTGCAGAAAATATTTTTCCTCTTCATTTAAAAATAAAGGTTCTTTAATGAGTCTGACATTTTTCTTCAATGCATCATCTCTACAAAATTTTTGCTACTGTATGAGATTTTACGATCAATCATTTAATACAGTAACTGTATATTACATATCTGTTCTACGTTCCGTAGTGATAAAGTACTATTGTAGCATTTGCATTGCTCTTTGCAGTTTTGCATGCATTGGTTAAGATCATTTGCAGTATTGGGGCAGATTCCTCATGTCTAATATTAAAGATACACTCACCTAAAGGATTATTAGGAACACCATACTAATACGGTGTTTGACCCCCTTTCGCCTTCAGAACTGCCTTAATTCTATGTGGCATTGATTCGACAAGGTGCTGAAAGCATTCTTTAGAAATGTTGGCCCATATTGATAGGATAGCATCTTGCAGTTGATGGAGATTTGTGGGAT